TGACATTTCCTTGCTAACATTTTACTGATGGTAGTCAGTTCAATTTTGATAACACAAAGTTAAAAAGTTAAAAGGAAAGAAATTCCTTATCTGTCCTTCAAAACATCTTAGTATTTCTTCTTATTTAAGTAGTTTACACTGAACAAAAAATTTAAAAGGAAATAGTATTTATGTACCAAACACCATTTAGTTTAGTATCAAAGCATGGTAAGAATCTAGGTCACAAGAACCCTCTGGAGATAATGCTCCCAACCTTCACCTGAAAGCATTTGGGGATAGCCTGGATAACCTGAGATGAGGTATTTAGGGGCAAGTCCTAAATACTTTCAAGCAAGTGAAGTCTGACCTCTTCTCAGGACAAACTTCTCCAATGTTTTATTCTTCTCATAGTGAAGAATTTAATTCCTATTTCCAGACTTCAGGATTTCCCCTAAAGAAAAGTGTGCCCCTTGAAGTGTCATCACACATCCTTGTGAACAAGACTACCGTTTACATATTAAAAGACAGTTATTCAATACATACAGTGTTCCAAGTTAAAAGGGTTTACTCAAAATTTGAAAGAAATAAAATAAAATAAAATAAAATAAAATAAAATAAAATAAAATAAAATAAAATAAACAGGAGAGGAACACACACTTTTCTTACTCTCCTGCCCATATGGACACTGCTATTAAAACAGTCATTTATTTCAACTCACTGTCTGAATCTGTATGCATGTATTCTTGGGTTTTCTCCTTTTTCTGACACTAAGAGCAACCTGACATCAACCTGCCTTCTTTATAAAACTGAGTAATAAACATTTCCTTTGATCTCAAGCAGAAATGGGCAAAGTCTGGTAATACTTTTTTTCCTACTGATATTTTCCCTGACATTCAATCCACAAGAAAAGTGTAATTTTTCCCACAAATGTCTACTGCCCTCTGTAGGATTATTTTAAATAAAATACTAGGAACAAAGCAGAAGAAAAAAATATAAAGAAAGCATGTAAGCCTGTTACAGTACAACATGGTGAAGGTGGCTTATTAAGTTGATGTCTCTTACAGCTTCATAACTTCACTGATTTTATAGACTTGACACAAGTAATAAGCAGAATATTCTCAGACAACACTATCAGACTTTTGAGACTGCAAAATGCAAACTGAGTGCCTGAAGAACAGTGAAGACAGTGGGTATATGAGGGTGTTCAGAGCTAGTAAAAACCATTCCCACCATTTTGCACAACTGCAGGCTGCTTTCAGAGCATGTTTCAAGAGACTCTCCACTCTGTGCAAGCAAAACACTGACATAAACTCATGAGAAAACCTACTGTATCAAAGTCTTTACTGAAGTTGTATGTTTCATTATATTTAAGTTTCATTCTTGATACTACCTAGGACGCAGTTCTGCTCCTCCTTGCCATGGATAAAAAGTAGATTTATGTATTCTAAATAGCATATGCAAATCAAATTTTCACTATATTTTATCTGGTGATCCTGTTAGAAATTAGAAGGACATGGTAATGTGGAGCCTCAAGGTAACTACTAACTGCACACAGGCATAGAAATGCAATGTTCATTTGACTCTCTACATTCCTTAGAAAAATTTTTGATAACTTATATGAGCTCCGTAGTGATTGTGGGAAGTGTCTGATGCTGTCCATGCCATAGTAGACCTGTGGTGTTCAAGGATATTAAAGGACAAGGAAGTAAACCAAAGCTATTCCTACATAAGCATGGGCTAAGTAATTCTGATAATTCAGAAGAGAACTAAAAGGCTCCAGTTGTATGAAGGGATTAGGATGACATAAAAAACCCCAAATCCCACAAGCCTAAGTGCTTATTTTCCCACAAAACAAAAATGCAATTAAGACTTCAATGGCATTTTTCTTTAATAAAAGCCTGCAACACCACTTACACACATAAAAATACCCTGTGTGGAACATAACTGCAATTATAAATGGCTAATCACTGTGACAATAAATAAAAAAAACCATACTACAGTGTGTTATCATTTTATGATGTGAGGAATGAGGGTCCTGAAATTCCTGTGAGTTTTGGTAAATTCCTTATAAAAGGGTAATTTTATATACAAACTGAGGCTCTAACTTCAAAAAGCAAGTTAATGCTATCAGGCCCTAACCTCAAAGAAGGTGCCCATAAGACTGAATTAGGTGTCTGAGTGATCCTTACTAAACAACACTTCTCTGTATGTTGAAAGTGGAGTCAGACAGCATGTGGAGGCTGAGAGAAAAAAAAAAATGAGGACACAATGTCAGCTGTGGGGAAGAGAAGATTTGAATCTCTTTATATGTTCCTTTGCTAAGAGCACATGTGTACCTCACATCAAACAAGTGCTCACCAAGGCCCCCTTATTTTTCTGCAGTGGTGCAATCATTTTTGATATTACACAAATCTTTTCCCCAGGATTTCTACAGAATCAGTGATGTCATCAGTAACTGATTTATAGAATCTTTTAAAAAATCTAGGTTATTTATTTCCTAGTAGTTGGCTGTTCTTCCATGCTCCATTTGCTGTCCTCTTCCTTTCTGATGCATTCTATCTCAATTAATGCACTTTCATCGCCACAAGACACAGACGACTGACTAACAAGACAGTTTGCATTCAGAGGGAAAGGCCACAGATTAATAAAAGCTAAAAATTACAACCCACTTTTTGTAAGAAATGATTCAAACATTCAAACACTGAAGGCCACCTTCTATCACAGTGACCAATCACACCAAAAAGAGGCTGATTTTTTTTTCTCCCATTTCTTTCCTCAAAAACACACAACGGAGCAGGCACTGGGTAAAGAGATGAAAACTTACCAAGCCTGGCACAAAGCACAGTCATGTAAGTCTCATTTTCTTAGGCAAAACACAGGATACGGGTCAGAAAATCTGAATTGTCTTAGCACTTTGACAATAAACTTTGCCTGGCAATGTTACAATTAACTTCAAAATAAGCTAAAAATTTGTCAGACCAATTGCTTTTGTTTCTCATGGATGCAGACCAACTTTGTGTCATGAGTATACTTTTAAGTTCAACTTTACGTAAGTTTTTGGTTTTTTGGTTTTTTTTAAAAGATTGTCATTTATGACTGGAAATTTTGACCAGAGCAAAATTCCAAGTAGCTAATGCAACTTATGTAGATTACCAGCCTAAGAACTAGCCTTGTTTCCTTCACTCATTTTGTATTATTTGTAGAAAGCAGTTCATCTCGTGCTTTTTCAACTACCAGTTTATCTTCTCAAGAGATGAATTACAGCTAGGAACAAGGATTCCCAGGACTGAGTATCTAAAAGCATTTGATATTTAAATTAGTTGACAAATTATTGTTATTTCTCTGTATGCATAAAGAATTTTTTCTTTCTTTTTGTTTTTTGAAGACTAAAACCAGTACATTACTTTCCTTGTTTAGTAATCTTGGTGAACTGAGTAAAAGCTAAAATAGCTGGAAGTCCTCTCTTCCATGCAGCATAACATCACACATCCCATATGGAGTAGGGATCATCCAGCCGACCAACCCATGCTGCAGGACAAGACAAATCCCACCCCACCTCTCCCCAGTCCAGGGCTTATGGGACATAAGCAGAAGAATATTCACAAGAAGGACAAAGAAAGAGATTGGAGAGAGATTATACAGGAAAACAAGGTTTCTACTGCTCACACTAAAACCTGTTAGCTTGTTCTTTGAACTGAAAGCCAGACCTAATTCAGATATAGAGACAACTATTACATGCTGATGTTACAGCTAAATCATTACTGTTTACACATTGCACCTTCTAAATGAGTATGCATGGATTTACCAAGGTAGAATACTGCTAAATTATTAGCTTATTATACTAATACATTAATCTTTAATATAATTATAATAATTATCTTATACAGAGGTGAATTTTATTTTTCTGTTATATCAGATCTGACCAGGGTGCTTCAGAATGTCCCTGGAGGATGCTGAGGATCCTCCCCTGCCACTCTAACTTTTTTGGGGTAACATTCCAAAACCTACTGACACAGTCCTAGGAAAACAATTTCTAGAGAAGGAAGACCAGAGTTTCCTGGAAAGAGCCAAGCATGAGAACCACAGAGAAGCTGACCCAGACTAGTGCTCTTCCCTGGAGCAAAATGCTCATTACAGTTATCAGAACTTCGGCACGGCCAGCAAGGAGACTTGAGCCTGAAGGCTGCAACTGTTAAGTCACTGCAGGGAGCCTGTGCTGAAGTCCAGTGTTGGCCCCTCTTTGTCAGCAGAATGGCTTTAGGGATGTGGAATTTGCCGCCAGCCCGCGCTGACAATTTGACCATGCTAGACTGGAGAGATGCGCTCAGTTCTCACCAGCCACATCCCCCCAGCCCCACTCAGAGCTACAAGCTCAAGTTAATGAATGCTGTCAGCTTACTAAACTAGTGAATGGACACAAAGTCAGTAAATGTCATTTAAAAAAGCTCCACTTCACACACAGCATAGCTCTGAGTGTTTCTGATGCATTGCCACAGACATCATTTCACTGCAACATCTATAAAACATAACATGTTCCTTCTTCAAACACAACACTAGATGATTCCTGAAGTTAGACTGAAATTGTGTAATTTTGTATCTTACAAGATCTTCCACAACAGTGATGGAAATAAAAGCAAATGGTTTATATAGTTATATTTATCATATAAAAACTTAGCAGAAATCTTTAGAGGTCATTTTTCATTCTTGTCAAACTACTCATCAAAATGCCTTATTTTATCATTAATTCATTCCCCCTTGCTTGAAGCAAAATGAAAAAACATGGTTCACCAGTGCCATGACTTTTTAAAGTTATTTTTTGGATGTACCTTTAAGCCAGCAAGTCACAAGTTCAGATATATTAAAGGAGGACTATACTTTTTTCAAAGACAGCTGGCTTTTGGATTGTAGATGTCATGTTTATAACACACAACTTTGAGTCAGTCTTCTGGAGATTAACAGAAAATCCAATTTCCTCCAAATGAAGCCACTATTAAGAAAAATCCAAATTATTAAGTGCTTACCTTTGTCATTGCTATTTGTTGGGGCTGGAGGGAGAAGTCCAGGCTTAGATTTGTCATAGTTGTTAAAACTCTGGCTGCGTCGGTTGTTGGCACTGATGGAACCACGAGCTTTGGCCTCGCTGCCTGCAGTGGACACCCTCGTGGTGGGACCTGGAAGCCTGGTGGAGAATTTACAGCATGTTTAAACATAGGTAAAAGGCACTCTGGGCAAGAAACTATGGGATACCATGCATAAGCTGAAAATAAAAGGATCAACAGCACAAGTACAGGCTCGTAAGTGTCTTTCTACTTCTGTAAAAACAAATCAAAGAATCATCTTAGATGAAAAGTGTATTTCAAACAAGCTACAGTCTGAATTGTTTTACAATTCAGAAAAATTAAATTCAGAGAAAAAGCCCTGACGCAAAATTAACAGTCACCTGACATAAGTCTGGTGAATCAGAAATAGCTGCAGGTAAAATCAGTGGAGCAATACTGCCAGCAAAAGGTTAAGACTAAGTGAGGCGCTACTGCCTTAACTCATTGTCTTAAGCCAGACTGCTGGACACTTCATCACATGCTGCCCATATAAGGGCTACCCTTATTTCAGAAATAACTATGAGATGGAACTTGACTGCCTTTTCCCTTGTAGAGAAGCACATCACATCTCTGCCCTGACAACTACAAAGCTCAGCAGCCAAGCCTACCAAAACTTTAACTTGGTTTAATTATTTTAGCCTATATAAATCACTCAAAGCTTCAACACCCTCTCCTAGAGTAACCACACTATCAGTGAGCTGGTATAAGCCTCTGGTTTAAACTGGGCATCTGTCTCTTTCAGCGTTTTCCTAACATAGCCTGTATTTACCAGATTTAGCTGATTTAACTAGGAAAAAAATGTAGTTGTTCTGGAGTAAAGAGACAAGCTTTTATGCTTTTGAGGCAAAAAGGAAGGTGGAAAACTTCTCTAAAAAGCCTGACAGAATCAGGAAAGCCACTGGCATCACATCTCAGAACACTTCAAAGCCAACATTCACACACAGAATACTTTTAAAGTTTCCTTATATAAAATACAAAAATCTATTTAAATGACTTTGTCAATAGTAAGGTAAAAGGAAGTCCCAGTTGTCAGAGAGAGTGGGGATGTAACTGACCAAATCACCATTATGCCCCTGCGAGAAGGAAGAGAAGCCAGGAAGGAACCTGGCAGGGCTCCCTAAATAAACTGATTTATCCAAGACTAGTGAAGAAATAGAAAATTTGAAAAGAAACATGAAGAAAAAGCCAAAATGTCAGCAGCTGCATGCACATGCTTTCAAAGCTCAAAAGAGTCTAAGACATGAGGGCATCATTCAAATACAAACCCAAAAATTAATTGACTAACTCAAACCACCACAGCACATCATGGTTCTGAGGTTGACTTTTAGACCAGTCTCTCAAATTATCCAGCTTTTTCCAGCACTGGGAGGTGCTAAAAAGTTGTCCATACTCATCATTGCAGCAAAGGGCCCATGAGAAAACCCCAGAGAGGCTTCATCCACTGTAGAGGAGACCACAGGGGAAGAAGCTGAGGGCAACCAGAGACAAATAAAACTTTTTGAGAAAGTCACCAAGACAAAGAAGTCCACGAAAAGTCATTTTGTTTGACAGGAAACAAGCTAGATTTTCTACAAGGTACCTCAGCCCAAAGTTGTCACCCAGTTTTGAAACACTGAGTATGGGGCACCCACCCCAGGCTACAAGGGCCCCAGTATGGGAAGGGAGTTTTCCAGCAGTAGGGAAGGGACAATCTTCCTGCACTGATGGATAAGAAAAGGCTCCCCATACATATCCACACAGGTTTTGCAAAGTAGACACATTTTAAAGTAAACAAAGCTCCTCAAAACATGTGACCACTTAAGGAGTGATAAATTTTCCATCTGGGTCAGTATTGTCACTCTCAATAAAAACATATCAAGAATAAAAAAAATCAACATGCTATAAGTGCTCTTGAAGACATCCTTTCTCTTAATTTTTTTTCCCCCACTGTAGTTTAACCAACTGTTTTTAAGCCCCTGCTTTTGGTATTAGATCAAGATACTTCACAGCAGTGCTTGTGAAATCTAAGGAAAAATATCAGGTTCAGGGAGACACTTCTTAGTTCTTGCTATTTAGAGAGAAGATACTGTGCTTGGAGAACACTCTTTTGTTACTCCTCAGCACCTCTGTTAAGCAAATATGAGCTGTCAAGCCATAATTATGATCAAGGAAGAACATGAAAACAGGGATTATTCTGTAGAGATTCACTGTTAGCATATAAGAAATAAGATGTGAGAGATCTAAATTATACAGCAGATAAAACAACCTATACAAACCAAATAAAAATCATAAACTATAGTTCCCAAGCTCAGCAAAAATGGTATGGTATAATTTACCAATATAAAACTATATTCTAGTCAAACATTTAAATATAATAGTAAAATAACAAGATTATTAACTAGATTAATAACCACAGCAACCCTTACCATCACTGAGATGAGATGGACAGATAAGCTGGCATGCAAGTCATGCTGGGATACAGGGAAAAAATGGACTGAAATACCTATGATTTACTTCCAAGCAGATTACAGGTGCTGAGTGTGAGAGCACTGAGGAGAGCAGTGGCTCTGATGAGCAAAAGCCACACAGTGCTGTTGGGGCTCACATCATGCACACAACACTCTCCTCACTAGCTGAGACACCAGCCTGATGCAGCTCAGATGGAGGATAGAACTGGATGATCTTTAAGGTCACTTCCAACCCAAAATATTCTATGATTCTATGAATTCAATAATGCAGATCAAAATATAATTAATATAGCAGGGTGAGAACTCCCAGAACCATGTTTTGTTCTCAAAAGCAAAAGCTCCTAAGAACAAGAAAATCAAATTATTTCCTTGAGGGCCAAAATGCATTCCACACCTCAAAAAAAAAAAAAAAAAAAAAAAAGAGAAAAAAAATTAAATTCATCTAAAACTTTCCAATTTCAGCTGTTTGTAAAGGCTTAGTTACAAACTGTTTTTGACAGGAACCCTAAACATGCACCCAGAAATATTGCAAAAGGATTATTCATGCTTTGCAGAAGATGAAGAAATGCTAACCTAGAAGACCTTTTCTGACCAAGAGTGAATCGGATGATTTTGCTTTGAGATGAGTCCCTGGGAGATGCACTGTGACAGGAAAGAAAAAGCGGAAGAGAACATTGAACAAAGAAACTTTTTTTTTTAAAGCCACTGAACTGGTTTTAGGGAGAAAAGGTTTTTTTTATGAATTTCACAGGAATATAAAGCTTCTTGCCCAAGTATGACTTAAGGTTAAAACCACTACAGTCTGAAATTAATTAGTTTTTACAGAGTAATGAACATGCAAATCTGCATGCAACCCCCAACTGTATTCCTCCTTTCTTGTTCCTTTATTATATGTATTTTCTGTGAAATCTGAGCAATTTGACTTTAGTACATACTAAGAAAACATGACATTGAAGATCTTCAGGATATATATATTTTGCGATTATTTGAAACCCAGGCCAATCTACAGAATGCACTAAAAATAGTAAAACAGTATTCAGCATCTCTGCATGTTTGACAGAAAAGCTGCAGAAATATCTTCAAATGCATCTTTATTTTATAGTAATTATTTCCCGTTTATACATGCTGTAAGAACACTACATTTTTCAGTTATACAAAACTATTGTTTACACCCAAATGAGCATAATTTGTGAAGAAAGACATAAAAGCCAATCCTAAATAACCTTTGAGTAGTCTCACTTGGAAGGCTTCAGTTAAACTGTTTATAAACTTCATAAGGCAGCACTTAAGCCAGTGTTCACCTCAAGGTGTATTAACACAAGCAAGGCTCAATGTGAGAAATGTACAAACAAAAAGCCTTCATCCTTTAGTAAATGTGCAAGTATTATTTCTGCTTTTAATTCTGCATTTTATCCCCACTAAACCCTGCCTGTTTTAGCAGTGCAAGGGTCAGACCAGTAGAAGGCTGCACATACATTTACTGTGGTACTGCCTCAGAAAACTGCTTTTATTCCAACCTGGGCGGAGCACTCCTAGTATTAAAGACATTCAAGGAACAAAACCCCTTTCTATTCGTCTGTACTCTGATCTAGGAGTGCCAACACCAACTGTGAAAATTATTTTTCATGTAAAGCCAGCAGAGCATTATTTTTTTACCAAAAAGACTAGATTTGATTTTGATTGCCACCAGGCGTTATGAGCTCTATTTCTTTTACCACTGTCAGAGTAACCCTTCTCCACAGTGGAAGGTAACCCTTCCATTTCTTAGTGAGGACTGAAACTGTTGTAATCTGAGAACTAAAGCTGGTTTTCATATGCCTAAAATGTATGTTTTCTAAGGGAAACAATGTTTTGTGAGTAAGGAAAACATGCTTTGTGAGTAGAAAGAAGCAAAAGGAATAGTGAGAAAAACATCCTTCTACAATCCTGTGGTTACTTGGTCTAGCAGGGGTGTTACACTCATGGGGCTTCAGATTTCCAGCACTGAGAATGTATTTAAACACACATGTTTTGATTTCCAAAGGCTTGAAGTCAATTGCTACGCAGCATTCCATTCCCAACATACTTTATTCTAGAGCAGAACTAAATAAAGGACAAAAAAAAAAAAAAAAAAAAAAAAAAAGAAGAAGATAACCCCAACTTTAAGGAGATTTCCCCACCTGGACTGCATTTCTGGTTGTGCTTTGAACTGATGCTGCACAGCTTGTGGGGGCTGTTGGCACGGAGTCTGGAGCAGAGCTGGTACCTGCTGCTGAGGGACGCCCACTTGGCACTGGGATGGAGGCCCTGCTTGCTGGGACGGATGGTGCTGTGGCTGCTGCTGCTGCTGCTGCTGCTTGTACCGAGACAGGCTGAAGAAGAGGCCCAGGATGGCCTTTAGATTCCCATTCCTGATTTCTGTAAGGCAAAATTAAGAAGTGACTTGTCAGCCATTCAGTGGGTACTTTTTCTCTGACAGTGCAGCAGGTCAGCCACTGCATCCCCAGAACACTGTTTGAACTGAGTTCCTTTGGGATATCCTTTAGTTTCTTTCTGCATATCTAACTGGCACTACAGTTGATTGCCAGTGAGCACCAACAACAAACAAATAATCTCTCCCCTGTGGTGACTGAGCAATATCTCATATTTCTGATGTAGTCTGTGTTAATGCCAGTGTGCTTTAAAAAGCAAGTCCCTTTAAATCTTTCCTTTAAACTAACATAGCTAAAAACCCCAAAACAGAACCTCCACAACAACAATTTTATTAAGGACATCACACTGTAAATGATTTCTCAGTTCTAAACTTGTACAAGGAGAAAACCACTCCATTTTCACATGTATTTCAGGAATATTAGAATAATTGTTTCCACTAAGAAAATTTGATGCAAGTTTTGCACTAGAAAATATGGTTATTGGATGACATAGCTGTATTCAAACAGATAATTACCATCTTTGATACTATCACAAGCTGATGGGCACCCAGTGTACCCAAAGACAGTTTCCTAGTCAATGCATAAACTTTTCCATTCCTGAATGTCATTCTGCTCTTCTATGCAATATCAAATGTAAAAATGTAAAAGCAAACAGAAATACAAAGATGAAGAGGTATATCAGACCATGCACTTAACCACTTCTATCATGGTAAGTACACAAGAGGGCAAAATTTTCCTTGCAGACAACCTTAATGTGCTGTGACTTAATTACTTAGCATGTTTAATTTCCTAAATTAAAAAAGTGAATTAAAAAAGCTACATCAAACAGCTGAACTTTTGCCTGTGTTGAACTAAGAGCTGACAGGGAGGGAGGGAGGNAGGAAGGGAGGAAGGGAGGAAGGGAGGAAGGGAGGAAGGGAGGAAGGGAGGAAGGGAGGAAGGGAGGAAGGGAGGAAGGGAGAAAGAGAAAGAGAGAGAGAGATGTGTGGCAAGACAGTGGCCCAGCACAAAGGCAACAACCAGAATTTTCCTTTGTTTCCAGTTCTTGCTCTGTTGGGTTTGTGATGGGCCTCATTCCTTCCTTTACTCCCTCTCCAGATATATTTCTGCTCACATTGCTCATCTTTGCTGTATAAAGAAGCTTCTGCTCCTAATCCTAAGCACTTTACCCAGCAGATCTGAGGCTCAAGGTTTAAAACTCTTGATTCCCCTTTCAGTACCAGCTTGCAGCTTTGGTCTCCTTATCTACCTGCACCTCAATCTACTTTCCCTTCCCAGCCACTGATATAATTTACTTTCTTTCTGAAATTTGTCTCAATCCATGCCAACGTCTTCCAAGAATATTAGACCTTCTCTAAGCAGCCCTGGTCACCACCCAGACCCAGGATATTCCTTTCCTCTCATACTTCTTGACTCCATTTCCAACTGCAGCCTGCCTCCTCTGTCAGTGCTCTCTCCCACCACTGACCCTCCATTCTCTTGTTTAAAGGATTATCATTCCCAGGGCCCTTCCGCAGACATTTTCATTCTTCCTTTGTTTTCTTGGCCAATATTAGTCTATTCCTGAACAGTGGGATCCCAATTAATCCTGCCTGCTTCACCTTCTCCCAGCCCACTCCTGCTCCCATGCAGTGCCATGCACAAACCCAGCCTTCTCTCACTGCACCAGGCAGGTTCCTTCTCTAATCTGCAGGTTCTCTTTAATAATCTGTGTTTAGCTTGGAAGGACAGGGATGGAAGTAGGACAGACAAAATACAGCAGAATACAGTAAAAAGAATTTCCTTATCTCCAGTAAAGAACTCAAATTACTCATGGGAACTGTAAGGAAAGTAGCATTTAATCACAGGTTGAAGCATAACTAAACAGATCCAGAGGCACTGGGAAGCTTAACTGCACAAATACAGGCCAGAAGATAAAGGAAATTACCATGGTCCTGCTTGTTTAAATTTAAAAAAGCTATATGCAACTGGAAACTGATTTCTATGTGAAGTGAGAAGCAATTACAACAGTGACCCACCTATAACTTGTTGATTTCTATGTCTGCCTGCTGAATTTATCAGAAAAGCAACCTGCTTTTGACCAAATAATCAAATGAAGAACACTTTTAATGAGTTAAAGCAGTCTCTTTCCCTTTGGATTTGAAACAAAACATTTTAAACTGGACTTTCAGAGGTACCTCTGTTTCTTTTATCTTCAACTGAGGTAATTCTGGCAGTTCTACCCTGCACTTCATACAAAAGGACTATTTCAAAGAGTACTTCAGCCTCTGCACATCAGCAGAGTCTCAAATGCTTCCTGCTTCGAGTCCTCTCCAGTCCATGGTATTTATATTGACTCAGATAAGGACGTCACCCACCCATTCAAAATGTGGCGCCAAAAACTACTGTCCTGGATACTGGAAACAAACACTCCAGACACTTGCAAGGAAACTGGAATTTGGTTTTCAAAGGAAACCCCATAAATCCACTCTTTGCTGATTTCCTTCCTGGGATATCCCTGTTGGTGCTTGTTTCCCCTACATCACTGTTCCATGTGTTCAGCTGATCATTATCCAGCTCATCTGTTATCCAAAAGATGTGCAGCTGCTTATCTGTGATATCAATTTGAGTTTCTACTGCACATTTATGTCCTCCAATGTCGTCAATATCTTGAGAGCAAGTAGATATTGTGTGAAGGAGAGCAAGCTTTGCTGGGCAGCTGCAATTGCAGGAGTCTAAAACAAGTCTAAAAGCAGGGGTATGGAAAGACAGTTCAAAGAATGAACAATAAAAATTTGCAGCAAGAAGTGAAAAGAGGTCTCCAGCTCTTCATAGTTTTCCCTATTAACTACAAATGGAGACTTTAGATGTTTTAGAATCTTTGATAAGGGGATGCCTCTTTGCCTCCACATTTCTGGGGAAGGGAATCCTCCAGCACAGCACAGTCATCATCAGTCATTGCAGATGCTCAGTATCTGCAATGCATAAATCCATCAAAATAGACTGTGTAAGTGGCATGCACATATCAAAGCAGGATTTTTCAACACTGGAAGGATATGACACATGCAGCCCAAAGTGATTTCAACATTCAGTAGTCATCCAAATTCCAGTTTTGAATTACTAACTTCCCTCCACACTGAAGCTACACTATTGAAAAATACATGCTCTTAACAAACCCAGAAGACTTCAGTGATTATTCCCATTTGGAAACAATCACAACCTTTTCCTTCCTCCTAGATGAGGATCTGCCAGTGAAGTAAATAAAGTTATTTGCAGTTGACCTAGCATGTCTTGGCATCTTGCACAGAAACACTGGCTTGTTTGGTAACAAAATTCCTCACTTTAAATTATTCTGTGTTCCTCAGCACAGTGCTGTATCAATTAGAAAGAGAAAATTACTGTTGCATTCAAGTCTTTAAATTTATTTTCTAAAAATGTATTAATTCTGTCCCCCTCTCTAGTTGTCACTTTCTTCCTTCAATGTTAATGCTGGAGCCAGTAAATGCTCTCATTTATATGCTGGCAGCAAACATTACTGGTCCCTTCTTAGCCTCTGTGTGACTTAATAACTAATTCTTAGATAGTGTAAAAGAAAGGCAGAAATCCCAAATCAGTGAAGCCATAGGATAAGATGGAACCTGCTGGGCCTGACTTGTGACTTGGCAGGAGAGCCATGAGCATTAATCATGCTGTCCCTTCCCCAGCATGAGCAATACCACACTGCCAACTCTGTACACTCAGGCAGTTTTCTCACCACTGATCTGCTGTTTTACTTAGATTTTACCTTCTATCAAGACAGGTAAATAATGTGAAATGCTTTTTTACAATATTTGCATACGAAGGTCAAAATTGGCTTTTACAATCGAATCAGCTGCATTTTCTTTTTAATCAATTCCTGGCAAACAAATTTTCTGCTGTTTGAAGGTTTAGCTCATGCTTTCTTTTCTTGGTATGAGAATTCTTCTGATTATAACTGAGCAACTGAGGCATATAATGCTGGCAGAACTCAGGTGGACTGAACTCAGGAAAGAAAATATTTGTTACTGCTGTTCTAATCCAGCCTAAGAATACATCTAACATTCAGCCTCCTCTTCTGCTAGATGTGGTATATTCAAGTTAGAACAATGTATACTAAATATCTGCTATTTTGCTGCAGTCTCCTCCTCCAAACTAAGTTTGTGAAGAGACTCAGTCATCTAATGTAACTTTGAAGTCTCACCTATTGCCACACATTCAATGATTTGTTCTGTAAAGCACTGGGAGTTGACATATCATATATTCAGCTACTGAACCCAACTTCTTTTCCAGCATATTTAAATGAAAAGTGAAAGCTGGTGCTGAGGATGACAGAAATCTGTTTGATCTCATAATAAGATAATAGGTAAACAGCTTCTGAGCCAACAGGTACCATACAGCCTGGCATAAAGGAACAGAGTAAACCTAGTTTCGTCTCAGAAAAATTCTGATGCTCTTCAAAAGCAGAGTGTTTAATTAAAGGTCAAAATGTCTTCTCTTTTTTTGTTGTTGTTGTGGGTTTTTTTGTTGTTTTTGTTTTTGCTCCAAACATTTGGATTTGATTGTTTTGTGCACTTGGAAACAAGAAAAATCTTTAAAATGAGAAGAAAGCAGGATCGTTGTTCCTGTAAGAGAATAATTTAAGAACAAGAAAATAATTTTTTCTCTGAAAAAGCAAACAACTGACAGTAGTTCACTTATATCTGTAAAATATACACTGATCAATGTGCAAATTATAGAACTGAGATAAGAAATTTCTGGTCTTAAACATAAAGTAGTAAAGAAATGACTGAATTCTAATTTGGTTTCATTAATTATTTTTACAAGTCAGGTGTGTAGAAATTAGATAAGTATTTTATCTACCTTTCACACTGAATAGGGGAAAAAAAGAAGATTGTCAGAAGTTTAAATTGACCTTATTAATCTTCCATTACACTCCATGTTCTACGTGGATTCACAGGTAGTAAGTCAGGCTCCTCATTTAACATGAAATCTTAAACAACCAGTGGACTCACCTTCTGCTGACAGCCCCTGGATGTTAATCCCCTTAGCAGCCAAGAAACTCAGGCATGCATCTATGTTTTCAATCTGTTGAAGAACAAACACAACAAACAGAAAAAAGGAGACACAAAAAGAAAATGCATTGTAGCAATTATTTACTTCCATCTACCGCCACACTTCAGCGCACTCAGTCATTGCATCCCATAAAAAATCCTTCTGCTCATGATGTGGAAACCATAGCATGAAACCCTCTCAGTTACTGAGGTCCATTATTCCACTGATTATAAACTGATTTTTCCACAGCTCAGGGCTTTCTGTTATTTGCATTTGCATGAAACAGGTTATCCCAAGCCCCAGTCACAACAGGCGATCACTGCACTTCTTACTCCGGGGTCAAGGATGTTCTGTATCAGGAATTGTAACTGACAAGTGTAACAAACATGAAACCAAAAATAAACGTCGAGGCCATTTGTTTGAGAAGGCAGATTGCCACTTACTCCAAAGCTGACAGCTGGCGAAAGTTTCCAGCCACACCAAGAGTTGAATATAAAAGCTGTAACTGGAAACCCCAGCTGGAATCTGAAAAGCGTTTCCTCACGGCATTCCCCACGTGTCAGAAATGTCAGACCACTCTGGTCAGTCGCTGAGGGGCATGTCTTGCCCCTCACAGAGATGGGACAATGGGAACATGTTCCTTGGGACAAAATCGATTTTCACCAGGTACGGACTTGCGCACAACAGGTCTAGCTGTCAGCTGCTATACACAACTCCAGTTGCTGCACACAGACTGGATGCAAACCCTACCTAAGAAACTCCAGAGAGGCTGCACAAGTCAGGAATGTTTTATACTCTATCTCACCATTACAATAAGAATTTTGCAGTAGCCTCACACCTGATTTCCCACCAAGCTCCCACTGAAGCTCTGCTGTCATAACCAGAAGATGCAGAGAGATGCCAATCTTCAGACCAAAGCACTTCCATGCAAAAGTCTAAGCTTGGACACCTTGAGGGGCTGCAAGGAACATTTTAGGAAATACCATGTAGGTGGTTACACAAAAAACTCTTGGATGATACTGTTGAGCAATTTTTTCATTTACCCATGGTAATCAGCAAGTGATAAAATAGCATCTTTGTGTTTGAACATCTCTCAAACATTAATTTATTAATTCCTTAAACATTGCAACCAAACACTGCATCCACCGGATAAGGAAGGAGACAGACACTAAGCCCCACACTTGGTCTCACATAACTGCCTTCATTCTGTCAAGTGTGGAGACATCAAAAGGAAACATGAAAAATCCAGCTGTCCTGTCAGCTCCTGCCTGCCCTCAAAAAAAAAAAACCACACAACTGAGGGCTAAGGCAGCATTTTAGAACCTGAGCTCCCATCACCTGACCTGAGCTCCCTGTCCTTCTCAAAGTAATAAAAAAGTACTGGGAAGCTGCCTGGAAACTTCCTGCATGGATTTCTCTCAGGGCATATTAATTTATTGTCTATAACTGTAACAATAAAAACATTTTCTTCTATCAGGGAGATGGGGTAAGTTATTGGCATTGCTGAACTGTGATTTCAACAATTAGAAATACTTTTATCAACCTCATTATACTTTGAGATATAATATAAAGTACACAAAATATATAGTACATTTTGAGTAAATTATATACTCCAAAACCCAGAGAGGTACTAAAGAATACATTTCCTGTACTGCTCAGACCTTAGAACTTGGAGCAGGGTGCAGTTCAAAGGTTCATTTATCCACAGTTCAGTATGATCCAACAGTCAATTGACCCATTTCCCTCTTCAGCACCCAACAGCCCTTCCAAGTTTTCAACACAGTTCTTTCATTGAGGTGTCTGGGGAACTGGCTGGAAAACCAAAGTTCACCTTTTCAAGAATAAACACCACATAGAAGGATCAATCTATTCCTGCTACCTGCAGTTAACAAGTTGCATCATTCCAAGAACATTTCCAGACTTCCACAGCTGTGGGTAGATGTCTCCTCTCCAAATAAGCAGATTAGTGACCAAAGATAAGCAATATCTCACCCCCACTCCAGATCTGCAGTACCTCTCAGTTGTGCTCTGCTTGCTTCGCTTCCCAGGCCCCTCATCTCTGCATAAACTCTCTTTTAGGGCAGAGTGAGCACACAATCAAGATTTACATCTGGGTAGTGAGTTCCTCATCCATGTCCTCATTCTTGGTGCTATTGAGCAGTCTTTACTGATGCTCTCATCTCACCTTATTCAGATTCAGGGAGTCCCCTTTAAAATCACTCAGTTTCTCCTACGGAATAACCCCCCAGTTTTTCTGAGCACTGTAGCCACTGAATTAAGATAAATCACTCGCACCCTCAGACTGATGGATTACTCTCCATCTCAGGTCTGTATTTGGACCACAGGTTGAGCAACCTGGAACCTCACTGCCATACAAAAGGTCAGATGGGCTGCCTTGCCACACCAGTGGTAATGCCTGGCTAAAAGCTGTGAGAAACAGGGGCTCTTGGTGCTACACTGGTATGGAAAATACCCTAATTTCATCATGCATGATGAAACCAAGTGAGAGTAACAGCGATGTGCAAAAGTACATCCTTTACATTCAGAAAATGAAGAACTAGGATAAGATTCTGTGGGGATGTACAGCACTGCATGAACAAGGAATTCACTAAAAGAATAAACTGAAAGATATAAACGTATCAATGACTTTGCTAAGATTCAGACAGTATCTGTGACATTAACAACATTACATGTCAGCATGGCAGAAATGTGAGGAATTGGTTGATTTTGAAGGAAAAATAGAACTTGAAAAGGAAAACAGGAGGAAATTAGAGAAAAAAACGAAGAACGTGAAACACTAAAGCAGGACTATAGCTGAAATGATTAAAATTTAGGGGTGATAAGAAGGTCCTTCCCACACAACAATGACTGGCCTGAGTCAAGAACTCTGATCTTGGCTGAATCAGCCTAATGCATCAGAATCCATGTTGCTTTTTTGGAGAGAGGACTTCACAAGAAAGCAACACGCCACGAATTTCACCCGTAAAAGCTCCAAGGAAGTATTCTGTCCCTGGTCTCTGCTGTATTTACTACTAATAATACGAAAATATTGTTTTATGGAGGAAGATGACCCCAGTGCAGACAGGGCTGGAGATAGCAAGTTATGATAGACCATTTGGATGTATGTAGGATAAAAGTTAAGTTTCTGGATAGATCTCAGCTAGATGGTAGGAAAAAATTCTTCCCTGTGAGGGTTGTGAGGTCCTGGCACAGACCTGTGGCTTCCCCATCTCCAGAACTGTTCAAGGCCAGGCTGGACAGGACTTGGAGCAACCCGGGATAGTGAGAGGTGTCCCTGCCCATGGCAGAGAATTAGAACAAGATGGTTTTTGAAGTCCTTTCCAACCCAAACCATTCTATAAGTCCAAGCAAAACCCCAATGACTCTGCATCCTGGTGACTTCCAACACCAAGTACAGTTGCCTCCTTGTGGATGCTACATTCAAGAAGCAAGCAGGGAGCACAGTGTCTGTGTGAAACTAAGTGACACAAAGTTCTCACTCCGGCCTGAGAAAGCATAAGCAGGAATCCAAACAGTCCTTGGAGAAGAAAAACAACATCTCCTGGTGTTGTTTAGATCCTTGCTTACTTGCAAGAAACAGTCAACAGTACCCAATTGTCCAATGATGGTGATGTGTTGGTTTAATGACCAATGAGAGTTTTACCTCTCAGACTCTCTCGGACCTGTCTATAAATGAAGATCAGGAATAATAAAACTATTATTAGCCAGAGAGTCTGTGTCGTACTTCATTGTTCCTAATATAGTGCGACACCTCCTTGTAATTACAGCATTCAGCAGAAAATCATCACCCAGACATTGTGGGCCCTTTTTTTTTGCCAAAAACTTAAACCTTTTAAGCAGATGTGAAAGGATTCCATATGCCAAAAGGAGTGGATATCTTCTGTTTCACTGTGAGCTACAATTGGTTTTTGGCTGACAATTCTGATTTCTCATTTGCTTTGTCAGCAACGTTTAACACAGCAGAAGCAAAGCAGTAAAGATGGCAGCTGGATGCTCTGATTCCCTGCCTACCCAGAACCAGGGAAAGCTGTGCAAAAGAAGGAAAACCAAGCACAGCCACCCACAGTGATTATCTCACTCAGAAACATTACCAGGGGTAACCAAAACTGAGCCTTATTAAACTTCCCAGCCAAAATAGCCAAATGAATTTGCAATTTTAGATGGCCATATTTGAACTATTTCAGGTGTAATCACCATCAACGTGTGCTATCAGTCCCACATCTTTTTATGATGGGTATTTATATTGAAATGTCCCTGAATGCCAACCAAGGACTGCTGAGCCCAGAGGGATTGCCAGCCTCTGGGGCTCCTCCTTCTCCTTTCTTTTAATTAGGAGATTATAAGAAAAAAAAAACCCCAACAACCCTGTAAAATTAAATTTCTGCTCAGACATAACATATCACTCCCATTCTCATATTCAGAGAAGGGAAAGCTACTGGAAAACTTCCTCTTAACATGAATAACTTGACAAGGTGGGAACAGAAGGCATCACAACTAAGTGCTGTACATGGAGAACTATCCAAGACCAGATCATCACACAAGTCTTTGTGCTTGTCATATAGCAGCAATTTCAATTTCTATTCTTGCCAGTGCTACAGAGAAAGCATGCCCTAGCCTGTATAAGCAGAACAGGATATGCCAGGAAAAAAAACCCTGACCCCCAAATATCCCCATCCTGTAGCCTGTAAATAGATACCCACAGGTGGACACTGCCGTGTTGAACATTGACTATATCCAACAAAAACCTGAGTATGGACACTGCCTCCAGCCAAAGCTGTCTCTCTAACTCTGCCAAGTCAAATACACAAGGTAAAGGATAACCAGTGCTGCCCTTGGCACAGACACAGAAGTTTTTCTCAAACAAAAACCAGAATTAAACTTGTTGTAGGTTCCTTCACTTATACACCAGGTAAAGTTTCTCGCATTGTGATGCAAGACCTCTGCTCCCAACTTTTATAGTGATAAATGGGGAGTTTTGATGAGCTTATCCAGAAAAGCCAGTTTTTATATTG